GTAACAAGGGGAAACTGAGGCAGCAGGTCCAGCTCTGATGGCTCATTTGCAGCCCTGGCTCCATGGGGGGCTGCAGTTGGAACCCCAGGTGTGGGAGGGGGTGGTGGTGCCTCATAACCCCATCCTGCTCTGCAGATGATCTCCATGGTGATGGTGGCAGTGGGGGTCTACGCGCGGCTGCAAAAACACACAGGTGAGGTTGGGGGGCTTGGGGACACACACTGAGGTACCTCAGTGTCCCCTGTCAATCCAGGCTGATTCCAAGCCAGCACCACAATGGGGATCCTGGGGGATCAGGGGGTGCTGGCAAGTGGGGGGCTGCTGCTGACAGCTTGTCACACAGAGATGTCCTGCCTGGAGGTGGACCCTGCCATCCTCCTCATCGTCGTTGGTGTCCTCACCTTCCTCATCACCTTCTGTGGCTGCATTGGCTCCTTGAGGGAGAACATCTGCCTGCTGAAGACAGTGAGTCCCTGGGGATTGGGAGTCCATGGGATCTTGGTGTCTCTCCTGTGGTCCCACAACCATCACACTCCTCTTGCCCTCAGTTCTCCTTCTGCGTGACCATCATCTTTCTCCTGCAGCTGGCAGCTGGTGTGCTGGGCTTTGTCTTCTCTGATGAGGTACCGTGTGAAAAGGGGAGATTTCCTCAGAGCTTTAGTGTTTGTTTAGTCTCTCAGCACCCCTGGAAACACAAGACCCTTGTCCCCAACCCTGTCCCCTTCACTGAGAAGTTCACAAGGTCAGAGGGTTCGACTGACTCGATCATGCCAAACCCCTCCTGGGTCTCCACACCTTTACCCACTGCCAGTGCCCTTGAAGGACTCGCAGAGTAACACTAATTATTAGTAGAACTGGGTCTAATCCTCATTAAAAGGTGCTTGAGATAATGATCCAGCAGAGAGTATAGTTCTTATACAATAAGTGTCCTTATGGGGGTGAGAAGAGAGGTTCTGGCATCTGACTGATGCCAGAAGTTACCGTGGAGTCTTCCCTTTCTTCTCCCCCTTCTTAACTCAATTTTATACCATATCTTTATGTTTACGTGGAGCTTGAGTGACTCTAGTCCTGCATCTTAGTGAGGGGTGGTCGTGCCTTGGGGGTGGATATCTCAGTATAGTACCTGAGATAACCTTGGGGTGGAACATGGTCAGTCCAAGGACAAGGATTTCTCAACAGCTGCTGATTCAGCAGTAGCACATCTTCCTCTATCTCCCTTGGGTTTCAGCTGCTGTGTGGCTTATCAGTACCACCAAGTTCCTTCCTCTGCAAGGGTTTAGACAGAGCCTGGACATGGTGTCTCCACTCTGCTCCACCTCTGTTTAGCCCCCTTAGATTTTGGTGTGTGTGTGTGTGAGGTTGAGAATGCTGACCACGTTCCATCCAGGGAGTAGCAACTGTATTTCCCCCTATAACTTCCATACCATTGTCTTTTTACTCCCTTCCTGGGAGCAGCAGAGGGGCTGAGTGACCCCAAGCCTGTCCTGCTGGGTGATGACCTTGCTAGAATTCCCCCTGTTTGCCCCACAGGCTCGTGGGAAGGTCAGTCAGGTCATCAACGGGGCCATCGTGCACTATCGGGATGACCTGGACCTGCAGAACCTCATCGATTTCGGGCAGAAGGAGGTGTGTGGAGGAGTCTGGAAGGGTTGGGGTTTCCCTCTGCTGGACAAGGATGTGTCCCCACTTGTGGGTCAGGCTTAAATCCATGGGATGTCACAAGCTGGGGATGTTGGGTAGCTCATCCATTGCCCCAGCCTTGACAGTGTTCAAGACCAGATTGGATAAAGCCTTGAGCAACCTGCTTTGGTGGGAGGTGTCCCTGCCCAGGACAGGGGGTTGGGACTAGATGATCTCTAAGCTCCATTCCAACTTCTTAACATACTATGATACTATGATCCATGAGGATTTGACATTCATGGTGAGGCTCTGCCAGGGCAGGTGGAGGTTTGGGGAGTGCTGGAGGAAAAGGGGATTGGGGGGAAAGAAACACCCCTCCTCAGTGTCTTGTCCCCTGAAGTGGGCTGGGGTCCCCTCCCTGCTGAGTACCTCATGCCCTCCCCACAGTTCAGCTGCTGTGGGGGTGTGTCCTACAAGGACTGGTCCCAGAACATGTACTTCAACTGCACTGATGCCAACCCCAGCCGGGAGCGATGCTCCGTCCCCTTCTCCTGCTGCCTGCATGATAACAACCAGGTGAGCCCTTGGGGGACCCCAGGTGTCCTCAGGGGACCCCCACTCCATGCCTCTTCCCCATCCCTTGGGGCTGCACTGAGCCTGGAGCTCCTTCCCAAGGAGAGGGAACACACCACCAGCAGTGTTTGGGCTCCCATCCCACCCTCTGGGTTTGGGGCTGCTGTGATGGGGTGGGGGTGTACTCCCCCTGCCATCCCCAGAGATTGTCCCTTTTGGGACTGGGAGTGTTTAGGGAGCCTGGCTCAGGAAGGCTGGGATGGAGACACCCTGTTTGGTGCCAAGGTGAGGGCAGAGCTCCTGGCTGCCCCACAGCTGTCCCCTCACGTGGCAGGGACCCCAGTGTGTTCTGTCCCCAACCCCTCTGTGCCCTGTCCCCCCTCCCAGGCTGTTATCAACACCATGTGTGGGCAGGGGATGCAGGCCAGGGGCTACCTGGAGGCCAGTGCCTTCATCTACACCAACGGCTGCATCGACAAGCTGATCAACTGGATCCACAGCCACCTCTTCCTGCTGGGGGGCATCGCCCTGGGGCTGGCCCTCCCCCAGGTATGGGGTCCCTGAGGACTGGGGGGTCTGTCCCACAGCTCTGCTTTGTACTCTGTCTCGTTTGGGAGTTGCTGTAACAATGTGGCTCATTGCAGAACAGGAGAAAGTTGGAGTGGGATTTGGGGTATGGGGAGCAGTGCAAATGTCAGGCATGGGGTGACACTGCCTGGTGTTCCTCTGCCTCTCTCTCCCCTCTCCCCTTTCTCTTTCTCTCTCTCTCTCTTCCCCTTTCCCTTTCCCTCTCCCCTTCCCCATCTCTTGCCTCTCCCCTTCCCTTTCACCTTCCCTCTACCCATCTCTTGCCCTTCCCCTTCTCCTTCCCCTCCCTCTTCCTCTCCCCTATCCTTTCCCCTTGTCTTCCCTCTCCCTATCCCCTCCCTCTCCCTTTCAGCTGGTGGGCATCCTCCTGGCTCAGCTCCTTATCAACCAGATTGGAGACCAGATCAAGCTGCAGCTGTACAACCAGCAGCACCGTGCAGATCGCTGGCACTGAGCCCTGCTGCATGGCAGCACATCAGCATCCCTGCCTGTGGCACAGCACTGGTTCCTGGGGCCTCAACAGTGGTTTCCCCAACCCTGGATCCCTGGGAAGAGCTGAAGGGGCTTTGCTAGAGAAGAAGGAGGTTGGAGCAGGCTGTGAGTCCACAGTGGCTGCTGTGCTGCAGAGAGGGACGTGCAGGGATGCTGTGGACTTGGTGCCTTTGGCAGCTTGGGATGTGCCAAGCTGCTGTGCCCTGGTTTGGGGCTGAAGCAGCCCCTGTGAATTTGCCTGTCTGTCCTGCTGGTGCACAACTCATGCACAAAGGTTTGTACTCAGATGTGCTTCCCATCTCCACGTGTGCTGGAGATGGGCATTTCTCTGTCCACGCACTGAGCTGCCTTCACTGAAGGTGAGCTCCAGAACTGGGGACATTGCCCCCATCACCAGGTGCCACCAACCCTGTTGGCTCTGTCTCGGTGCTCCTTGGGAATGAGACAGCCAAGGGCTTGGCTTGCCAGCCTGGAGCATGAGGGCTGACCCTGGGTGCTTCATCAGCCGAGGGTGGTAGTCCTGGATGGGTTTCCTGCCTTTGCCCTGGGAGGCTGAGCCCCTCCCCAGGGTGCTGAGCCCCACGTGGAGGAATCAGTGCCAAGCTGTGACATTTCCGTTGGCTTTCACGATGAATAAAGAGATGAGGCTGAAGGCTGTGATCTCTGGCAGGCTGTGTGGGGGCTGCTGGACTGTCACCAAAATGGGGACTAAAACCCCTTAACACCAATGTGGTATTAAGCACAGGCATTATTTATTCCAGTGCTGGATGCACAGGGGATGCTCTGCCAAGCTGCATCCCAAGTATCCAAACTTTTTACTAACCACACAGTTCAGAAAACAAATTAGTGCTCAATAGTCACAAGTTACCTCTTATTAATTAGTATTCTATCCTCTGTTGGTTAGTGATTCTCTTGCTTCTTATGCTAATTAGGTGCTTTTGAGTCGGTGGCTTCTTGGGGGTCTTCCATGGGAGTTTTGGATGGTCTCTGGTGGTCCCTTGTTGTTGTTGAAAAGATGTCCATTAGTGTCCTTTCCATGAACTTTTGAGTCTTCCTTCCATATATGGTCTTAGTTCAGCTCACTAGGTCGTATGCAGATTATCAAGTTCCTTATCTTGGTCTTGTTTGACTTCTGCTGGCTCCTCTGCACATCCTCCAGGTGTGAGAAGGATGTCATTGCCCCTTGCAACAACTCCTTTGAGACATACTCAGATAGTTAGATTAGCTAAGTTCTTTTAGCTCCCTTGCTAATTCTGCACCAATTAACACTACTCTAACTACTCTGCTAATTTTGTAACATAATTAAGAACTCTGAATAATATTCTGAAGGAGGAGAAAGTATCATAACTACTTGCAAGAGGAGGTTGCAAATGGACCAAAGCTCCAAATACATAGATATATTTAGGAGTTAAGTCCTGCAAAGCCACAGGAGTTAAATATGTGATTCCAAAGGGTTAACCTACGAAAAAGTAACATATAACTCCTTGAAAGTAATACATGACAAGAGAAGGTTGCAATTGGACCAAAGCTCCAAATACATAGACATGTTTAGGAGTTAAGTCCTGCAAAGCCACAGAAGGAGTTAAATATGTGATTCCAAAGGGTTAACCTAGGAACAGGGAGCTGTGCTCTTAGATCTGCTGGTATCAGGATCACCGGGGGGGAGGGGGGGGCACACCACCACGGCCCTGGAGTGGCTCGATGGGGACCAGGGGAATCACGGACAGTGTCCCCATCACCTCTGCAGACCCCAAGGCAAGGCAGAAGGGGCTGAGAGGCAGCGGAGCTGAGCAGCACGGCAGGCCTGGGCCTCTCCGCGGCCTTTCGGAGCTATCGTAAACCGTGGGTGGAGTTTTTGGGGATTCTTGGCTGAGTTTTGCCTGGTGCCGAGGCTGGGTGGTCCCTGCGGGGAGGAGTCGGGATGTGTGCGGCGCAACTCCGTGTGCGGCCGGCGAGGAGGGAGCTAGTGGCTGCTCTCCCCAAAACAAACCCTAATCTTCCCCAAAAAACTATGATCTCCCCTGAAAAAACTTCTTCTCTTCCCCAAAAACCACTGCTTTCCCCAAAAAAGTTTCTTCTCTTCCCCAAAAACCTCTGCTCTTCCCCCCAAAAAACCCTTCCCTTCCCCAAAAACCTCTGCTTTCCCCAAAAAAGTTTCTTCTCTTCCCCAAAAACCTCTGCTCTTCCCCCCAAAAAACCCTTCCCTTCCCCAAAAACCTCTGCTTTCCCCAAAAAAGTTTCTTCTCTTCCCCAAAAACCTCTGCTCTTCCCCCCAAAAAACCCTTCCCTTCCCCAAAAACCTCTGCTTTCCCCAAAAAAGTTTCTTCTCTTCCCCAAAAACCTCTGCTCTTCCCCCCAAAAAACCCTTCCCTTCCCCAAAAACCTCTGCTTTCCCCAAAAAAGTTTCTTCTCTTCCCCAAAAACCTCTGCTCTTCCCCCCAAAAAACCCTTCCCTTCCCCAAAAACCTCTGCTTTCCCCAAAAAAGTTTCTTCTCTTCCCCAAAAACCTCTGCTCTTCCCTAAAAACCTCTGCTCTCCCCCCAAAACTCTCTTCCCCAAAAACTCTTTATCTTCCCCAAAAACATCTTCCCTAAAAACCTTGTCCCCAAAACCCTCTTCTCTCCCCCCAAAAAACCTTCCCCAAAACCTCTGCCCCAAAATCTCTGCTCTTCCCCAAAAACCTTTCCCCCAAAAATTTCCTCAAAACCCTCTTCCCCAAAAATCTCTTCCCCAAAAATCTCTGCTCTTCCCCAAAAACCTCTTCCCCCAAAACCTTCTCTCCCCCAAAAAGTCAACTCATTCCCCAGCAAAATGGGCATTGTCACCCAAAACAGTCATTTCTTCCCCAAAAGTGTATTTTGTCCCCCCAAAGTGGCTTTTCCCCACAAAAAAAGTAACTTTTCTCCCCCCAAGCAACTTCCCTCAAAAGAGACTTCTGTCCCCAAAAAGCAGCTTTTCTCCTCAAAAAAAGTGTCTTTTGTCCCTCCAAAGTGATTTTAAAAAAAAAAAAAAAAAGGAACTTTTGTCCCTAGAAGAGTGTCTTGTATCCCCTAAAAGTGACTTTTCCCCCTCCAAGTTAATTTTGGCCTCAATGAAGTAACTTTTCTCCCCTCAAAAGTGACTTCTTTTCCCCAAAGGCGAATTTTCTCCTTCAAAAAGTAACTTTTCCTTCCCAAAAAAGTAACTTTGCCTCTGAAAAGTGACTTTCCCCCTCAGTCTAGCTTTCCTCCATGAAAAATGACTTCTCACTCTAAAAAAACACCAGGAAAGTGACTTTTTCCCCACTAAAAGAGACTTTTTTTCTCCTAAAAGGAACTTTTTCCTCTCTGGGGGTGAGTTTTTCCTCACAAAAAGAACATTTTCCTTACAAAAACTGACTTTTCCCTTACTTTTTAGTGACTTTTCCATCAGTTTTTATTGACTTTTTCCCTTCCCAAAAGAACTTTTTCTTCAAAAAAGGAACTTTTTACTGACTTTTCCTTCAGTTTTTAGTGACTTTTCCCTCACTTTTTAATGACTTTTTTTCACACAAAAAGTAACTTCTCCCTCACTTCTGAGTGGCTTTTCCCTCACTTTTGACTGACTTTCCTTGCAGAAAGGAATCCTTTTCTCACTTTTTATTGGCCTTTTCCTCACAGACCTGAACTTTTTTTTTTCCTCACAAAACCCCAACTTTCCCTTCACTTCTTAGTGCCTTTTCCTCACAAAAATAAACCTTTCCCTCACTTTTTAATGCCTTTTTACTCATGAGGAGGAACTTTTTGACTTTCTTGACTTTTTCATAACCTTAACTTTTTCTTCACTTTTTCATGATGTTTTCTTGACTTTCTCTTGACTTTCTCTTAACTTTTTCTTTTTCCTCACTTTTTCTTAACTTTTTAACTTTTTCTTGACTTTTCCTTGACTTTCTCTTGACATTTTCCTCACTTTTTCCTACTTTTTCTTGACTTTTTCCTCACTTTTTCCTAATTTTTTCTTAACCTTTTCCTCACTTTTTCTTGACTTCTTCTTGACTTTTTCCTCACTTTTTCCTCGTTTTTTCTTAACTTTTTCTTGACTTTTTCCTCACTTTTTCTTGACTTTTCCTTGACTTTCTCTTGACATTTTCCTCACTTTTTCCTACTTTTTCTTGACTTTTTCCTCACTTTTTCCTCGTTTTTTCTTAACTTTTTCTTGACTTTTTCCTCACTTTTTCTTGACTTTTCCTTGACTTTCTCTTGACATTTTCCTCACTTTTTCCTACTTTTTCTTGACTTTTTCCTCACTTTTTCCTGACTTTTCCTTGACTTTCTCTTGACTTTTTCCTCACTTTTTGACTTTTTCTTGACTTTTTCCTCACTTTTTCCTCTTTTTTTCTTAACTTTTTCTTGACTTTTTCCTGACTTTTTGACTTTTTCCGGACTTTTTCTTGACTTTCTCTTAACTTTTGCTTAACTTTTTTGTAACTTTTTCTTGACGCTTAACTTTTTCTTGACTTTCCCTTAACTTTCTCTTCAATTTCTTAACTCTCCCTTAACTTTCTCTTCAATTTCTTAACTTTCCCTTCACTTTATTTCCTTAACTTTCCCTTAACTTTATTCCCTTAACTTTCCCTTAACTTTTTCCTCCCCGAAACGAAACTTTTCCCATCCCACTTCCCTGCCTCTCCCCCTCCGAGCCGGAGGAGGCGGAGAAGGAGGAGGAGGAGGCGGAGGCGCCGCGGGGCCGCTGGGCTGGCCCGGCCGAGCCCAA